GTCGGTTCCCATTACTATACGAACCCTCGCTCTCGACGTATAAGTTATATAACATAGTAGTGAACCACAAGACTATACTATAAGTCGGAAAAAAGTTTTTTCTTGTAATTTGCTGCGAGTTTGTTATCATTACATAAAACAACATAAAAACTCTTTTGTATTCGTGAATAACAAGATAATAGATAATATCTAATATAATAGATAATAGATAAGATAATGGATTACATTCATAAGAAGCTGAATGAACTGCGGATAAAAGTCAAATCCCAACCCACGACCACAATCGTCAAGTCAGTCAACTCACGTGGCGAGACACCGACCCGTGGTTTGCACGAGAATTACTCGGATGACACTAATGTGATTAGCGAGGAGTTGGATATGATTTCGTTGCCCTCGTGCTCAAAGTCCGAGGAAGAGGTCCAGAGTAATGTCAGCTCTAATGGCAGTACAGACAACAGCATATCATCGCTATTAGGCAAACAGGTATTGTACTCATCATTATAATCATGACAATCGATACGATAATATGTTATAAGCTTTCGTTGATATGTTTGTTTTCTTAGAGTCCATTAGTATAAGTACACGACTAATGCAGATTGCATGTGATGTAATAAAAATAAAATTTTATATTAGCTTGTTTATTCATATTGTAGTATCTTGATATAGGAATTATAATATTTTTGATATGTTTTTGTAGCAAATAAAGTTTTTTCTCTAGTGACTAGACATCAGGCGTTTCTATGCTTTCTATGACTTTTTTAAAGCTTTTTACAGTACTATTCATGAGTTGTATAATCTATTGTCAATCATTATATAGGCATGTAATAAAGTAGACAATTTTGATGTAAAACCACATATTATTTATGAAACATAAAAAAGTTATGAACGTTTGTCACAGAATATTCTGTTCAATGTGTATGTGCCCTAACTGACAGACCAGAATAGGATCAATAAACCTAATGGTCAAAAGTCAATAAACTCATTGACTTATATCACAATTCATGCAAATTGTAGTGCAATTCGTGCATTTGACAGCAAATATTTCCGTCAATAGTTGAGATAAAAATTTATTGTGTTACAGAATTACGTATTTTAATGAATATTCACAAAATGTTATTCAATAATATTTATATTTAGTCTGTGAGATTATTTTTATTAAATAAACAACTTATGGTAATAAACAAGATTCACTTAAAAATACTAAATTGTTGTAAATATATCCGACTTATATGATACTTTTGCCACTAATTTCATAACTTTAACTAAAAAATTCAAAAACATGTATTTTGTTAAATCTTAGCCTAAAATTCTAGTTTTTAAACGCCTGTGTATTAATGGAAATGCTGACTTATTAATAGATTTTTAAATAAATTGTTAATGTATTTAGTGATTAGATGATGTTGAAAGCTAATGGGATGTTATTATCGAGTTATGAATAATCTTTAATTCAAACATTAATAACATCTCATTATTGTATAGAATTATCTCTAATATAATGGGTTTTCTGAAAAACATATTCTGTTACATAATATTGTTAGCGTTGGATGTATTTCAAAACGCTATGAAATCTTTTATATAGTTATGAAACTGTTGCCAACTTTTTTCAGAGACTTTTTCGCAATATGTTTATAAAAAATATTTAATCTCTTTGTTAGTATTTATGAATATTCTTTGACGTTAAGCTATTTATATATATATGAATTCTATATGAGTTTCAATTTAATATAAATTAATTATTGATAAATTCCTGAATATAATGCACACTTTAGGCGCTTTAATAGCATTTTAAATGAGTTTGTCTTTTGATATAAATATGGAAAGAATTGATCAACAAATTGAATGTCGAGATTATGCATAGAGAATGCTTTCAAACTAATTAACTTATTTTTATTCATTAAATTGTAATTTGCTTTAAATATGTTTTCAGTCGAGAAAAATATTTTCCACTATTTTTAATTCAGAGTATTTTCAATAATTTTAATTAATCGCAAATTTGTAGAGATTCGCTCATAATATACATGAACTGAATAATTGCTTAAAGGCTTTCGTAATGCAAAATGATGAATGCATTTTAAGAATCGCATGTTACAATTATAATATATACATTACATATGTTACTATATATATTTATTACAATTATGTTACAATTATACATTTACGACAAAATGATAGACCAAAAAGTTTTTTGACACAAAAATACTTTTCGCAGACATTAGTGAAGAGATCGACTGAATTCCGATATCAAGACGCCGTGAGAAGTGCCACGTATTCCAAGAGTGAGTTTGTGTTGCATTCCCTTCAGTGGCATAATATCCTCCGTTCCCATCACGGCGTGCCTCCACTCATGCTGTCGCTAGACTTGTGCCAAAAGGCCCAGTTCTGGGCCAACCATCTCTCACACACCGACACCTTCTACCACATGAATGACCCGCAAATCGGCCAAAACTTGCTGTCAAAGTGGAGCTATTACTCCGAGTTTGATCCGTCAGGTATTGACAGCATGTTATTGATAACAATACGAGCCTAACATTAATCTTAAGACAAATTGCTTTCCAATTCTTGTATCTCTTTTTCCGTTATCTCCCACTCTATTGTTAGTAAATTTCAAAATGTAATTCATTTTTCATACGAAATTTTTCTCACAATTCAAATGTCAAATGTATAGCAAACACATTAAATGATAACTTGATTTCCGCTTATAGCTTTCCCCATTATTTTTGCTATTAAGTTCCTGTTATTTTGAATATGTTTTTATGAATAATAGCGAAATTAGTACCGAATTTAATTTGCAGCCACTTTTGCACTAGTTATAAGTAAGCAAAAAAAATTAAGTATGAAATCCCAGAATTTGTAGATGACCCAGAAATTCTTAGAAACTTAATTTCAAACAATTTATAACAACTAATTTATTTAATTGTTTTTCGTATTAACACTATAATAGCCGAAGATATCTGTAAATATTGGTATAATTTCATCGATTCCTACGACTACGAACTGAACGCCAATTTACTGCACACTCAGGCCAGTGAGTAGACTACCGGTGCTCTTAATTCCCATAATTTATACGGCTGCAATTTGTAGTCTTAATGCGTTACCTTTATTTATCTAAGAATTATGTGCTCAAAACAAATTTCAGATTTAATTTAATGTTATATAATCAGTGAGAAAGTAAAGTTTTTTGTTTGTTTTGATTTGATATCAGAAAAAAGTTTTTTAAGACTTGTTTGATGGACTCATACCATTAGATTGTGTGTGTATTTCGTAGCCATTGTTTGGACGATAACTTAATGAAAGTTGTATTCAATTATTATAAAATGAAAGTAATATGAAAGCGCACATAAAAATCGCATTTAAATGTTTTTTCTTGTTTTGCGTGTTATTATATACAGCTAATGCATAATTTGAGTATACATTATGTCAGACAGTATTATGTAAATTGCATTTTATTTTTACGGTTTTGTAAGATATATTAGTGTTTAGAGAGAAAAGTTTGTTATGGGGAGAAATATATAACTAAATAAAAAACTTTACTTTCTCTGTTGATTCAAAAAAGTTATAGTTGATTTGAATATTAATTAGAAAACACGCAAATGTAATAATTAGTTTTAGTCAGTAATTATAATTATAGAAAACAGTTAGTTAATCAAAACACTTGTTATTTAAGATTATATTCATATAGAAAATTCTAAACATACAGAATATTCTGCATCAATTACACACAAAAATCCTTGAAATTATATAAGAATCCATAGAATTATAAGAAAAGTTTTAGCAAACAATTTAATATAATTAAGAAATTATTTGCAAATAAAGTCAAATATTTGTCGAAACAAAACTCAGTGCTAATTAAAGCTCAATTGTTTTGTGGCTATAATTTACAGACCATTTCTCGCAATTAATTTGGAAAAACTCGAAATACTTTGGCATCGGAAAGGCTCGCACCAGGAATGGTAAGATGATAGTAGTGGCCAACTATATGCCTGCGGGCAATGTGTCGGATCAGTTTGCGGACAATGTGTTGCCGGCCGTGTTTGGCGAACTCGAGTCCAGACGAAACACGACCACATCATTGATGACAAGTCGACGCAAATTAATCCTGAAATCTGCAAACAAATTGAAACGAAACAGACGTATGAGTCCTATCAGTACAATCAGCACCGGCTCTAACATCAATTCCAGCCTTTAATCTCCATTATAGTTGAAGACCTCATCTATTTTCTGGACAATTATTTTCCTATTTTATCCTTCAGTTAATCCTTTTGTATCATATATTATATATAAAGAGATAATAATTACTTAAGACTTTGTAAATATAGGAAAGTGAAAAAACAACAAGAACATTATATTCCACAGAATAATGTAAAGTAATAAAAGTATTTAATGGATACTTATAAACTCATATTATTAGTGATTTGTATATAATAATAAAATAGTCGAATAAACTTATATTTTACATGTATTTTATGTTTTTATTATGTGAAAAATAAATATAACTTATTTATATGATTTCACTTTAATTTTATTTATTAATTTTTAGGACTCATGAATTTTTTATATTTAATCTTTAAATATAATTTTAAAAAACAATAATTGAAAACTTGATAATTATAATAATAATAAATAATAAATAATGTAATGAATTTATTTTATTTAAAATAAAAATCTTGTTTCGCTACTAATTGGGTCCTCTATGGGATGGCATTTGATATTTAAACTCAATACTAAAACTAAATTAACCTTTCATTTTAAGCAAGCTGTATCATTAATGTTAAATAAATCTCATATGAATATAGTCTAAAAAGACTCTAAATATTAATATTAGAGTAACTTTATATTTGACGATAAAACACATTTTGGAGTTAATCAATAGTGTGCTTATTTA